AGCTTTGTGACGTCACTTCTCTTTGTCGACGAACGCGGGTAAAGTATAAAACGAACATGTTTTGTTTTGATTGCAGCTATAATGCACCCGCCATCAACTTTTTCGCTACCCCAATTTTCACCTTATTTGTGAAATCTTTGATAGCAACAGACGGCTTAAATGCTTTAACAACGTCCCTTCAAAATGATCTCCTTTCTGAGGGAGAAGAATTTTATCTCAGTTCTTATACTGTGCTATATCGCGACTATCACCTTGGTTGATACCGCAGGTACACTTAGTGGAGATAAAATTATTTTTTCTCCACTCCGCAAAGGAAGTAACTATACGTTGGAGAAAGCTAAGAGGGACTGGTTTCTGGCCAGCTTTGATGGGATTGCAGAAGCCGTGGTTTTGTCCTTAAATTCTTCTCCGCCTTACGGTAAGATCTCATTATTTTACCTTGCGATTAACCGGGAATTGTATACATCCATCGAGTCTTTCATTGACGTTTTTAACTTGCATCCTTGAGCAGATATAATGTAATTGTACAATTATCGATCGCTTGAATGAAAGAACGTTACTAATTGTAAACCAAACTCTTAACCCTTGAGATATAATTTCACGATGTGCAATCGGCTGTGCAGTGCAATGTTAAAGTTCGTGATGAGTGTGACGGAACCATTCATGTGTGTAATAAACTATGATTTTAACGCGCATTATCTTTCAAGTTTATAAATTGTTCTGCGCTTTTATCGAAAACAACTAACTCGACTTCAATTAGAACGCTACTACAAGAAATCATTTCTTCGATCAAATTTAAAACTGGAATCGTCGACTTGGAATGGTTTACGTTTTTGAAAGTCAGTTCGAACTTCTATGACTAGTTTTTTTCCTTTTTAAACCCATAAACGCTTTCTAAGTTTCCCGTTTTGATCAAATATACGAGGGAAATACTTATTTCTCTTCATAAGGAGGTTTAAGAAGCTTCAATTTTATATGGCTATGAATTGCTATATCTACCTTTGTCAATTATTTAGAGCATACATTTTTTTTGAAGGCGCTTTCAGTGAAAAAGAAAATCATCAATAATCATTTTCCTCTTTTTACTTCTTTCATATCTTTAACTATTTTACATAGACACTGCAATTTTTTAAAATTTTTGGACAACAAAATCAGTGAAGTATCGGAAATTAGGGATGGAAAAATCAGTAATTCATGTTGAGTTACGATTTCGTTTGTTAAAAGGATTAACCCGTTAACCTTTGTTGTTTAACCGGTACCTGTCTGTTCTACAAAAAGACTTTTCATTGTATAAATAAAACTTTCTTTGTACTTTTTAGTCTCTTGAAGATACGTGGCTAAACAAAGAAAGGCAGCTTTTTCTGACGAATGACAAAGAGTCTTTTGATATGAGTCAGAGCTATAATAGGATGACCGTTTTGACCGCTACGTGAAATTAATTTATGACTCAATTGAATTAGCGCAATAGCTGCATTTAAGTTACCAGATTCACTTATAGACTGTTTCGCCAATTGATAAACATTTATCGCTCGCTTGAAATTCAATGAAGTTACCTACTGTGTTAGGGCATAACTGATCAACTAGTAGCCATTGTTTTTTGAGTTGACCATTTAGTCTAGTAGTGTTCATTTCAGTGACACTTAATCCTGGCTCGGAACTTTTTTAAATTTAAGACATGTAAATAAATAGTTACAATCACTTTGCCCAGTTAAGGGTCGTTGAAAGCCTAAAGGAACAGATGGTGCCACTGAGAACAGATCAACGACCACCGATAACCAGGTTATAGCTCACACGTAGGAAGGGGTGACTCCCGTAAAAAGGTACAGGAATGTTCGTCGAAAAATCGGTATTAAACCCCAAAAAGAGACAAAACTGGGCTTTGTTTAGGCTTCATTTAACCCCTAAAGGAAACTATATCGAGATAGGCAACCGCAACCACTTCCCGGAACCGATGAAGAGCTGTAGTGATTTAAGCTGCGTAATGATTCTGAAACTGAATTTGTCTCCATCCTGATAAAACATCTTTTCCTTTTCTACTTATGATATTTCTTTACACTCATTACTCTCCAGCAGACTTTAAGCGGTATCTGTATGGGTAAAATTTTTGTACACCCCGTGAGAGACCAAAATATTCATTTTTTAAATTAAAAACGCGAAACCTGGGGGGTGTAAAATTAAAATCTTACACCCCTAAGCAAGACGACAAGTAACCCCATCCCTGTCGTACGGTAGTTTCTCTGAATTACATCAAATGAACCCTGTCGTATAAAGCTTTGCTTAAAACCAAAATCTGACCCGGATCCCTTAATCACGCTCAGCGTCAAGTTTTCCCTTTCCCCAAACAATTTATTTTTTTCATTTTGCAGGTGCCATTAAAGACGGAATAAGAATTCTTGATGGAAAGGCTAATTTCACTGCTGGTTATATAACGAGAGAGGTATAGAGAATGCTGAATTTGATGGTTAGGGAGTCGATTGTAATATATCAGTTAGCTGTTACATCCGTGGATTAATAGGCGTTTTTGCCTGTGGTTCCGTTAGCTATACTAGACAAAACAAAACAACTTTTGAGATTTCCGAACAGTCCTTCCCTTTAGAGTTGTTTGTACCTATGTAATCAAAAGCGGGACCTCTAAAAAACGTACTTCATTTGAGCACGATAGTGCTTATTGAGGATACTATTTTTACAGCGTCTCATCTCCTACTGGAGACCGGACTACCATTTTACCTGGTTATCGGAGCCACGCCAAGGCAATGCAAAGAAGTAGCTTCATTTTTTGTTATTTTTAAGACACTGAGTATTGGCCAGGCCCTGGGAATTCCCATTCTGCAGTCAAGCGCTCCACTGACTGATCTATCCTACCCGGCGCAGTTCGCGGCAATCCTAAAATCGCGGGTGCAGCATGGCAGGCCAGTCCAGGGCGGATAAATGTTGGGCGGTGAAACGAGCGCTCCGCTCTTCATTTAATGTGTGATGCGGAGTAGGACTGGCACGAGCGCTCTTTCCGCGCTTCCGGTGCGCTTGAAGGCCGGCGAAATTTTCCTTTTTGCAAACCGGAAATCCTATTTTCTTTCTGTAATTTCAGGCTACAATCTTAAATAGATAAATTCGTTTCATAACAATATCAATAAACAGTTTCATATGTTTGTGTCTGTACGTCTATAAGTCAAACTTGTTGGTCGTATAATGCCAAAATTTGAGTTTAATTTGAAAGTGTTGAATACCTCCTCCTTCCACTAAATATCACCTAATCGTCTTTCGCCGTTTCGTTTGCAAAAGCTTAACACTTCTTAACCTCAATTTTTACATATGTTAAAGGGGGATAAATTTTGTATAACATAACAAAAAATTAGATTGATATATATTGATATAGTGGCGTTATATTTCTTCAAACTTTGCTTCTCGGGTGCAACGTGCCATGGCGATTCGCGCAATGCTTTGCAAATCCGGCAACCGCATGTAAACAAAATTTATTGAGGTCAGTTGTAAGGTTTTTTCTCCGTTTTTCTCTCTAAAACAAAACAAGGTAAACAGTAAAAACTGAGGGAAAACTAATTTTGAAGTTTCGAAGAAACAGAAAGACGTATGAGATGTTTTTTTTCAAAATTAAAAAGAAGGATGATGGTGATTGAAATTAGCATAATTTCACCTTGCACGAGCTGCACGCATTTATAAAATACACGTCATCAAGTTATGAAACACGATCTGCTGTCTTTTAGTTTTGCCATGGAGGACATGAATGAGATTTTCCTTCGTTTTTTAGACAGTACTTAGATGTTTTTGTTTTTGAAATAACATCGACATTGGCGAGTAGCAGAACGAAAATATAATTCAGTGGTAGAGTCGTGGAAGTAATAAAAGAAACCCTTTGAAAGCGATGTTTGTCTACTCCAACTAAACCTCCCACAAAAAATAGCAACATTTGCCTCTCAGAGACAGCGTACCAGCACAAAGGAACGAGGAAGAAGTGCAAGAAAACAAATCAAGCCGCTAAATTCAGTGACAGCGGCAGTGTCTAATGTACAAACCACATCGCAAGCCCTGACCGAAGTCGAAAACAAGCGACATTTCTAAGCAGAGTCCCAGTCCACTGCATCACACCTTTTTGCTCGGACGCACTCGTTTCACCGCCCAACCTTTATCCGCCCTGGGCCAGTCCGAGCGCTAGACCAGTAACATAACTAGCTAATTATAAGTTCAAGTGTTCGGCCGTGCTTTTAAATACACTTTAAATAGCCTTCTGGTTTGCCTCCTAATAGTTGATGTTTCATCTTAATGCGGGAACAGTATTTCAATAACCTGCAGTTGCTCAGCCTCATTTAGGAAGAGAATAACTCAGAGTATTATTGTCATCTATATATGATGCCAGAATTCAAGGACGTTTTAAAAAGAGCATCTTATATAATTGAGAAGGTAATTCAATCCGCTTCGGCTTTCAATGAAATGTTTCCTCACTTTAGTCCGTGATAGAGTTTTTGTGTTCCCTATTTTTTCAGTCATTTTTGGGATTGTTTAGCTGTACGAACTTTAGTTATGATTGGTCAGTAGCAGGTCAGTCGTTTCCAAAGGCACGGTGACCAATCATAACTCAAGCTTTTCCACTAAAACGATTCCTGAAATCATCGCGCCGAAAGTTTGTGCCCGCTCTCTCCATAGTCTATGTAGTGGCAAATTCCAGTTTTCATGTGGTCATTTCTCTTCTTCTTTACAGGCCATAGCTGAAAATCTACCTCTCACTCTACTCACTTCCCTGTCTGTTGTGAGTGCTTTTCTAATACCGCTGGTCGGTATCATATTCGGCTGTTTCCGTTGTAAGGGCAAATGCGGTGGAGAGTTGATAGAGGAGGACCTGGAAACGAATCCCAAGAAACATCGGCAGTTGTTGACGGCTGCAATTTCTGTTTGCTCAGCTTTGATCATGTGAGTATATTAAACATATCCCCCCAAAGTAAAACAAATGAATTAATAAAATAAATAAATAAGAAACCACACGTTCTGTAAATATGGAGCTTTTGTAACGACTGCGGCGACGGCTGCGTTTATTCCAAAGCTCTTAAAATGGCAAACGTTTGCGGTTAAGGGTTACACAGCGATAAATTGCCCAAGCGGAAGAAAAAACTTGAGCCCGGTTTGGCGGGAAACGTCGTTGTAAACATTGACGGTTGACATAGATCGTAAATGTTTTCGACCATGTGTACCCTTTTAATAAAACCGCCACATCAGTTAAGCTTGGCAAGAGACTGAAAAGGAAGCCGTTGAGTTCATTCGCGCTTAAAAGAAAAGGAAATTCAAGCCTATTCTCGCTCAGTGGTCAAAAGTACGGGTTTACTAAAATGGTTTCAGCGACTTCATGAGAAAGTAATTCTTGAACACTGATTTGAAGAAAATTTGCGTGTGTTTCAAGGTGCTTTTGAATTTAATTAAGAAAAGGCCTGAAAGAAGACAGGAACCATCTCTGGGTGACAGTTCCTGGAAGCTGTCCTTCTATACATAGAGGTGTAAGACTGAGATGTTTAAAATGATAACAGATATCTTCATCCTTTTCTTTTAGGATTGCTGCCTTTTCAATCAGTCTCGTTAACGATAAAACGGAGAAAGCGGTTCCCGCTTTAGATTCTTTGCTTATTAACTCAATTGTCGATGTTATCATTTACAAGGAAAACACTTTAAAGGTAGGTTTAGTTGTTTATTTCGCTAACAAACGAGATATTGGCATGGCTATGCCCAAACAGCTATGAAGCTCCCCTAGTTTTTTCTCTCTCTGATTTTACATTTCTTCACATCCATGCTCGTCCTAACTTTTAGGGGTCAATTGGTACCTCTTAGGGTGTCCAAATCGACTCCCCTTTGATTTAAGGTTTTGCCAAGGGTGTAATGCCGGAACATGACTGAAAAGTATCGGTTACTCAACAATGTCTTGGTATCACTTGAGGTTTAAGGTCATTCCTCTGAAAAAGAACCTGCAGTGAGATACTTGTCCAACTTTACCGATGGTTTTGACTGTTCGTAGTCTGGAGATAGAAAGGTTCTTCTTATCATAAAAAACGAAAAAATGAAGATGCCTTGAGAAACACCCTTTTTATAGTAAAAGCTGTCATTTTTTGATGGGCGCGCGCTAATCAAGCGTGATTCTATGAGCAGTAAGGATGCGCAATGCAATAAGCAAATATAAGCAAGACCCGCGAAGCGATATTATGGGGTGCTTACCATTTGGCAGAAACTGAAAACCAGATCGAGTTGTCGAGAGGCATGATCAGTGGAAAGCGATTTTGCTATCCTCCCAGAATAACCATTTCCGTTACAGTTTGAATCCAAAAAACGGAAAATTTTGGGGATTTTTGACTTGATGGTAGACAGCCCAGGTAGCTTTTAGGAATGTTTAAGAGACTTTTCCGACGAGTGCTGTGTCATTTCTAGGCACTGTCCGTGGACTTTGTTTGTCACTGACTTAGGCCTCGTCCATACGAATCCAGATTTTCTTGCAACTTTACACGAATCGACCTTCCGTCCCGCAAAACTGCTGAATCTACTCACCGAAACCGCATCCTTCGAAACCGCTCTCCAAAGTGGTTCGCAGGGCCCCGCCCAAACGAATACAGTTAACAAACTATGCGTTTTCAAAAATGTCCGGATTCGTGTGGAGAGGGCCTTATGTTCATGATTTGAAATCAGGTTCCGTTTAGTAAACCCCCTTATTTGACTGGCTTGTCTGCCGTTTTCACAATAGGACGTATTTCAAGGGGTGTCTACATGACACCGGGGCGACTTTCGGGCCGGCGCGAGTTCACTCCGGTTCCCTCTAGTGGCCCTGTATTTGTTTACATGGCACCAACACAAAATGCCATACCGGTGCGAGTCACACTAGCTTGAGTTCACCCCAGTTGTTGTACCGGAGAGAGAATATTACTCCGGTACGAAATTTCGCAAAGGTAGCTTGTAAACGCGAAACGACCACTCGTTTCGGTGTAAAATCGGTCTGCCGGTAGACTTGAACGGATAGCTCATGCGTAATTGAATTGCTCGTTTATTTTATCAATAAGAAGTTCTTCATATAAACCCGATATGAAATGACGCTGTCATCATATAAACGCGATACGAATTATTTGCATTTTGGTGAACTTTTGTCTATGAGGACACTTTGTTATGTCTGTATCATACTTCTCATAAGGGTTTGATCTGTACATAATCAACAAAGGCGAGTTAAGTATTTTAAATTGTCTTTTGCTAGGAGCTGTCTGAAGTAACAGGAGAAAATATGAACTTTACCATTGGGATGATAACAAAGGAATTGTCATGTAAGCAGAATTAATATATACTAAAAAACTCTCGGAGGTTTTTCACAACTTGAATAATTTGAAAAGAAGAAGAATTTGTTTCCCCCTATGATGAATGAATTGTAACTTAGTTCCAATAACCTTAGAACCACTTCGCTGTTTCCGAGAATACGAATTCATTATCGTGCATCGTACAGTTGAAAACATAACAATACAACATTAACCAGTCGTAAACTGAAAGAAAAGGATAAAAGTAAAGAAACTTTATCTTCCCAATTTATAGACTGCAATAATCTGTATAATTAAATGTACAATATGCTATAACTTAGTAATAACTAATGAATAAAGTTCAGAAAAGTGCTCTCAAATCAAGGGAAAGTTGTATTATCCTTTTGATTTAGGGATACAGATGATATCAGTCAAACTGTTGCTACTCAGGGCACGTAAAGGAACAAACCGAAAATTTGAAGAGAAAGTGTTTGATAACTTAACGTTTATGATCTACAGATTTGCCGGTTAATATTACAACACCGGTTATAGAGAGATCGAAAGACGCCGTCGATGAACTTCTTCACGACATTAGACAACTGGGACCAAGTAAGTTTATTACGGCTACTGACGTCCGCTGACGTCACGGCGGCCATGTTATTTGACATAAACAAAGGGGAAAGAACTAGATCACATCGACCTAAACAAGATTCAGGGACCAGCGGTTGCAATGAAAACTAGGTTTTTGTAGGCTCGTTCTCGCGGGCACACAATTCTGCTGTTAGTCGATGTTGTCAAGTGTTTTTTCAAACAAAGTTGTTTTCCTCCACTGGGATCTAAACTCGCATTTCATGCAAAATTTGTAAGAAAAAAAAAAGTTGTATTGTTTTGCCAACCAACGTGGCCAGCTTATCTCGAGGCTAAAAACCAAGAATAGGTTACTGGTGGACCACATGTACTTCGCTGTCAAACGAGAGAAATTTGTCAAACTATAGCATATCACCTCCTGGTAAAAATCAATAAAAAAGATATGTACGTGTAAACGTTCGATCGCAACGTATACAAGCGAAATTATTCTTCAAATATTTCAGTTGATCATGACTGTGATTCATCAGTGAAACTTTGATGGTGATAAAGTTCTTAACTGATGAAGAAGCTTAATCCGAAACGAAAAACAACAAAGACTTGTAACCAAAACACACATTTTTGTGAAGGAGAGAAGTTTGAAGGAACATTAATGAGGCGTATGTACACAGTGCGGACCTATTTTTGTAACAGTAAACGTAGCATGCGGACCGATACGTTACCTTTACTTTCTCTGATTCATAAATTACAGAACTTACAGAACTCAAAGACTCTTTAAAGGAAGTTTCCGACACTGTTCAAAATCTACGGACGCTTGGACAAAAACTACGTGCTGGCTTAGATGAGGCACGAAATAACTTGACAGAGGCAAAAACAGATTGTAATAACGACCCTCCCTCAGTGTCGGCCGGTGCGTGTGATGAAATACCTGCAGGTGATGATCTACAAGCTGAGGCAGACTTTACAAAGGTAAGATGTCAGCGGTAAATAGCTATTAATTGGAAAATAGTTATTCCTGGGAGGGGGGGGGGGGGGGGGGGGAAGAGCTAGTGCGCAGAAAGGAAGGAAAAACGAGTGGAACGGAGAAGAACACAAAAAGCCTGGTCCACAGCGGCGCTGGCGGGGTGGGGTGGTGGGGATGAGGGGAGTGGGCTGGGGGTGGTAGGATTAGTAGTAGGGGAAAAAAGAAAGAAAAGGAAGGGGAGTTAGATAAGGGGGAATGGTTGGGGGGGGGGGGGGGGGGGGGGGGGGGGGGGGGGGGGGGACTCGGAATTTGAAAGGGGTCTGGATGCTGGTCCGAAATTTTGAATTAAACCCCTAAAGGAGACCGATCTGGGAGGGGCCCAAGCTTTTTTTGACCCCTAAAAGAGACCATGTTAAAACACAGACAATATATATTTTTCCCATGCAACCCTAAACGAGACCTTCACGGCTAAATATGATGGTGTTTTGCCCAGAACACCCTAAGTGAGGCCCAAATCCGAAATTTATACCCCTAAGCGAGACGACGAGCATCCCCACCCCTTTCATATGGGGAATCCTCCTCCCGGGGATATCCCCAGGCCCAATCTCGTACCAACAAGTCGCTCGCTACAAATGGAGAGCTTGCTCGCAGGTTATTTTGATTCTTGGTTTACTCTCATGGCAAGATGAACATAATACAGCTGTATCTCGGTGACTATTACTGTTATATTAGTCATATTCAAGATCAAACGTTTTCGATGATATTGCATGATGCACTGCTTCAGCTTTTTCTTTTTATTAATTTCCGCATCACAGGTTCCAGATGCTGCGCAGGAATTATCAAACATACAAGGAATTCTTTCTAAATATGATTTTGAAGCACAAAGCACCGAGGTGAGTAGGATTGATATTTTGTAATTCAATTAGATGGTGACCTGGCCACAGATCTTTGATTCAAATGTCAAGGGTCACCCTCCCTAACTCCCTAAATACATCTGGTTTAGTGTTTGGTTTGTTACTAAAATAAACTCTTCTTTTTTAGGGGGAGAGCAAATTTAACTCTATGGCAGCCAAAGTTTACGAAACAACAATATCTGGCTCAGAAGGTAAGTCGTTACGAAAATCTGATCTCTGGCATATGTCGCCGACTGAAACTATTTTGGAAACTGAATATATGCCTTGCTGCGATTCACTTGCTTTTTGCACCTCGTTTGAAACTGCCCATTTCTAACACTCTGTACTGTTGTGTTTAATTGCAGAAATAACTAACTTCACTAAAGAACTTCAAGACTTTACTGCCAAGATGGTAGACTCGATAAGAAAAGCTGGTGATGCGGTAAATCATCCATGGCACATGACTCAAATACAACTTAGCCTGTTCCAAACGTTCAGATAGTGGAAACGACGCAAAGAGGCTTCGCACGGCACTCCACTATCTGAATGTTTGGAACTGGCTAAATACAACTAAAAAGGTTATACATGCACCCATTGCGGACCTGTTTACTCGCAACTTGAACCAATAAGCTTCTATTTTTTTAACTTTCAGTTCCAAACAGACGTGTTACTTCCGACGAAAAATGAAGTCCACATTATATTTGGAAAAGGAGGATTATTTAACAGATACGATAAATACAGGTAAAGGAATGAATTTATCAATGATTATTTAAGTGGGACATGCCAAACAGAAAAAGTGCTATTAAACTACTGCTGTGGCATAAAACTAGTATAGAAAGCCTTTCATACTAGACACGTATTCGTGCTGGAATTTGAGAACTTACTTGTATGCTGGAAATAATGTAGTTATTTCTTCTTTGTTTCACAGATGGATGACCCTTCTTTCCATTTCGCTCGCCATCGTATTTGTTGTGCTGTTAACCTTTCTTTCACTTATCTCTGGTGCTCTTGGTTCCAGTCCTTCCGACACACCGAGCACACGCTCGGACACTTCAAACTGCGCTGGACGGGCACTAATGTGGTAGGCAAATACTATCCTGGTGGACTGTTTCCAGTATAATATAACATGTGATGTTCACGTGAAAACAGCTTTAATGACCATCAAAGTGAAATAAAAAGCATTTGATTGGTTGACCTAAAGAATATGCAAACGTCTTTTTGTTGCCCTAAGTGACTAGCAGACGTAACAGCTTTTCTCTTCGGAATAATCACTTTCTTTTTTAATTGCAATGTCTGGGAATATTTTAATTATTGTGCTGTTTGTGCTTCCTTCCTCAGTGTTGCTGCTCTGTATTTCTTCAGTGCTTTTTTTCTCAATCTCATCTTGGCTGTGACCTTCTTTCTCGGAGCAAATGCAACAGTTCTTTGTAAGTCAGCTGCTGACCTGAGCCTGCTAGAAAATGTAAGTAGTAGATGTAAGTTAGAAAGGTGATTTCCATTTACGAGTAAAAGAACAGTGTAGTTAGACATCTTTTCATCTAACTTTAATAATTTGTGAGTTATTTTAACTAAGTTATGTTGATAACGCATAATTGTTGGCAGTTAATTTGTCTTACTAGTTTTGCTCAAGAAAAGGAATCAACATTACAGCGATATTTTCAATTTGGATGGTACTAAAAATGAGATTTTTCATTCTTTTCTTTAGACCATCGATGATCCTTCAACACTGGGATATTATCCTGTGTCCAAAGCTGTGCTGGGGAATGAATTCGCCGAGATTCGACTGTCAGATTTGCTCAGGTAGAGACAGAAAATAATGCTTAAGGGGTATTCTAAGTCGGCATGCATATCGCATTGTCGTCGTTCATGAGAGACTACTGTATAATTATGTAACATAGTTCTGCTTGGTCGATGACTGCCAGATTTGGAGAACTTTACTTAGCAGTCCCCTTTGAACACAAATGATTAATCTTAAGCTACGGAGAATACAAAACCAGCTGCACAAAAATTTTGATAGGGACGACTTGGCTTGAATACAGGCGTTAACGCTTTGCCGTCAGTCAAGTTTTAGAGCAAAACCAAATTTTGGACCAAATCCTCGAAAAGGAATGGCCAAAAAAGAGATTTCCAACACTAAGGACTTAATTTTCTGCTCATTGGATCTAATCTAATGGGATCGCGCATTTTTTTGCGAAGCTATTTTGATTTTTTTCCTCGCTCTCTTTCTTTTTCCTTTGCCTTTCTCTTTATAGCCAGTTTTGTTGCCCACTTTATCGTCTTTCTTTTGCATGAAATCTTGGCTGGCTTTCTTTCCGACAAAGGGACAAATTCAATCTGTAAAGAGTAGTAGGTAAATGACAAAATTAGCAGTGGATTGTTTCCCCAAATGTTGCTTGTTTTTTGGCTATAACTCTGTTAGAGACCAAAAAAGAACAAAAGCGGACTTCAAAGCGTCAGCGTCAACATGAGAATTCTTTTTGTCTTGGGCTTAGAAACTTGTTTCATGCTGAAATTCGACAATTTTATATGGAAAATGGCCAATTTCAAACAATTTGGTAAGGTCCATTTGTCAGGATTGGTCATAATTTGCTGAATGAGGTACCAGTGGAAAGATCCATCCTCGCTGATTTTGTTAATTACCATCTTGACAACTTAAATGAACAGCTTTATGGGTCAGGAAGATAAATATGCATAGGTCCATATGGACCAAAAACGAACAATGCGGACGTCAAAGAGCTGGGATAATAATCGCCGAATTAAATTTATTACAAATTGTAAGTGTACAGAGCCATCTAG